GTACAGCCCCCAACTCAGATTTGAAAAAAAATCAGTGGATGGTTGTTTTCTGACTGGTCGGTGGACCGCCGACTGGTCGGCCCCAATCGGTCGGGGCAAAACGGTCGGCAGTCGGGGTCGGCAGTCGGTGCCGGTGCAACCCTGCTTTTAAAGAAAAAGAAGGAAAAAAAAAAGAAAGAAAAAGAGTACAGTTACGGTGAGCTCAAATGCACCACTCGCTCATGGATCACAGTTCTCGAACTCTCTTTTTGCTAAATTTGCTCACCATTGGCGATGTAGCATTGTTCGCTGACGGAAGACCATTGAAACTTGACACACATCTCCGCTTGCTGATGTCGGAGTCCTCAGCAGCCTCGTATGAGAGAGTGTACCTGTGACCAAGATAGAATCAGGGTATCCGATGTATTAACATACAGTTAGGAAGATTGGGACTCGGCCGTCAATAACCATGGCAGCTTTATGTCCTGCTTTCAGTATGGCCTACAAGAAAAGCCAAGAAACATAGATGGTCACAAACAAAAACAATGACTTCCTCAAGGACTGCCTTCTGTCATAACGGGCCACCTTTTCTCTGCTGGATTCAAGATCAATTTCAGATCCGCCATGTGACTCTTGGCCTTCTCTGAAGTCCCCCCAGCTCCGACCCTTGTCGTAGAGTCCAGGTTTCAGATAACGTAGAAGCCAGTACGTTAGCACAATCGACACCAAGAGACGAGGTGAGAGATGACAGCTAGAAGCAGCAAGCCCAAGGGGACAGTGCAGCTGGCTATGTCTAGACGTGGACAGAGCTTCTAGGCACTGTCAGGAATGCCAGCGTGTCATTGTCCTATAAAGAGATCTGGCTTTAGAGGCATTTCGTGGTCCAGGCCTGGGGGCTGAGGCAGGGAAAAAGCTCGCTAGTGTGGAGAACAGCAGGGAAGCATGGGGCATTACATGCTGGCTCTAGAGGGGCACGTGGAGCCACGTGAACTCCAGGTGCATAGCATCCTGTTTTGGTCCCGGCAAGCCCAGAGTACGCCCAAATTAGGTAGGTTAGGGCCGCTGAAGGTTGTATCTTTGGGCCCCGTCTGGCTAAACGAGCAGCTTTGATGGAGTGGGAGTGGTTTTGACCACCACACCCTCTCAGACCATTACAGGCACACACAGGTTAGTAGGACATTCTAGGTTGACAGTGTTGTTCTGAAAAACCAGAGGATAGGCCATCAGGCCCAGCCACCATCACTCATGGTTAACAGATCACCTTCCCCCCAACTCTTCCTTAGTACGGTGTTTTAGGGAAATTAAGGTTGTTTAAACTTGTTTCCCTTTTCTAAGTTTTCTTTTTTTTTAGGGTTTATTTTCTGCAAGTACTTCCATTGGGCCAAATGGCTGGGATGGTTGAAAAATAAAAAACCGAATGTGCTGTTTGTTTGTCTGCTGTTTGCTCTGGTGATTCATGCAAAGTTTGGGTAAAAAGTTGCTAAAAACGTTTCAAGGTTTCTTTTGGTGGTCGCCCAAGAATTGACAGAATTTTGGCCCCTGGTCGGTCAACAATCTCACCCCGGTAGTCGTTGGGCATGTGCCGTTCTACATTTTTCCCTGCCCTGCGTGGTACAATGGGACTAGGTGATGATCGCTCTGTCGACCCTGGTCTTGGTGTGTAAAGCTGTGACGCTGTGTGAATCAATACTATGTGCTTGGAGTGCTTTAGGTTTTGCCCTGGCCTCCCTGGTCCTCCCAGTCAGGCAAGATCTATTGTACAAATTTTCTGCGGACGCAATCTCAGCTGCTTTGAAGTTCGAGGGGTGGGATACGACTTGTGAACTACAGAAGCAGAAACAAATCACCATGATCCCAAATCGTAACCTGTGCTGAATGACCAGCTTAACAACAAGCACAGACAAGAGAGAGCCACCCCTGGCCAGCCCCTCCCCCGAAAGAAGGTCATTGAACAAGACAAGGAAAACTCAAGACACACATGCACACACAGAGGGGTACCGAGAGAGAGAGAGAGAGAGAGAGAGAGAGAGAGAGAGAGAGAGAGAGAGAGAGAGAGAGAGGTAGTTACTTGGCAAGTGTCTTTGCAAGATCAAATGGTCCTTTAAAAACCCGTCCTTGTTGGTGCTCTGCAAACACGACAGCACCCGTGTCAGGTTCAATTGGTTCGGCATGAGTGGGCTATCTGGTCTGTACAACTCGATAGCTCTGAGAGGGTCCCACCCTTATCTGACAAATTGATATGTGTGTGTCTGCATTGCCTAGAAAAACACTTTGAAGAGAGAGAAAAAAGGTGACCTTTTTCAGGATTTTTGGCAGCATCTTGGCAGATCCATGGCTTTATTACCCCTACAGACCCCCACATCGCACTTGAGAAGATGGACCTGAGATGAATTGACAGACAGAGTAGAGAGAGGATAGTCTTTCCCCTCACCAGACTTGTCCTACGAGTTGGTCTGGTTGTGCCTACTTAGACATACTCACACTAGAACATTTGAAACTGCATTTGGCCATACATACGGCCAGATACATTCATGAGTGCCCTGGTATGAGTACGCCCCAAATCTGCAACAGCGAATCGAATCAGCCATACAGACATAAGTCAAGCACCACCTTTGTGGAAACCACACAACACTGCAAATTAAACGAGACTAGGAGTGTCCTTCTGGACATCCGTAAAAATTGGAACGATACAGAGAAGATTAGCATGGCCCCTGCACAAGAAGAAAGATAAACGAGGCTAGGAGTGTCTGTCAATACTCATCCACATCCGTTCAAATTCGAACAATGCAGAAATGAATAGCATGGCCCCTGAAAAGGGAGGACAGCGCAAGACAGGAAAATCGAGAAACGGACCAAATGGTCCAAATTAAAAACCAAAACAAAGCAAAAGAGAAAACCAGTGCGTGCCAAAGAAATCCGATGATAAGGAAGAAAGCTGCTCTGACGTGATTGCAAGAAAAAGTTGGGTGTAATATGCGACAGTGACCTTCTGGCACAAAGCATACTTGCAAGCGCACACACCGTCCAGGCAATTCACACATGTAGCATATGCACTGCACCAAGGAAATAGGTCCACAAAAAAGAACGGGATCACAGGCCTGGATCGGTGGTCATCCACCACAAATTTGTTGCAGGTCCGTGTAGGATAGAAAACAGAACAATAGGTCCTAATGGTCAAGAGTGATGTCCTATATCGGTATTTCTTACGCCCAATGGGCCAAAAACAAAAATTGCAATAACTGTAGTTGAACAGAATCCGTTCCATAGGTTGTGCACTCCTCCATATCTACAAATACCAAAAAGAAGTAAAAAAGGAAGCTCCTGGAGAACCATATCGGAAAGTGCCTCGCACTGCACTGTGTCATGCAGTGCGCTGGCAAGTATAGCAAAAAGCTGTCTGATGGATTTGGTGAAGAAACAAGAAGTGAAATTTCCATTCTGAATTCAAACTCGTCTTCTTGTCACTTTGTCATGCCTGCAAACAGCGGTACAGCAACTGGCGACATGCGCCCACACAGTACTCAAGATATCGTAACCAGATATGAGTTCTCTTCAACTGGCTATGGCGACTG